GAAGGTTGCCAATGCTTCGTACGGAGTTGTTTTCATAGTAGCACACTCCTAAAGGAGGTGCTTAATGTCCACTAGGTTAAGATGCTTAATGAACTCCTTATGCTTCTGGTGTGGTAGGGCTTTGGTGAATCCATCTGCTGGCATTTCATATGTAGCTATCCATTTGATATTGAGGTTCTGATGCTCAACCTCCTGTCTTAACCAATGTGAGTGGACGTCAATATGCTTCAGCTTTGTAACTAGCTTTGGAGACTCCTTAAGTAAGATCCGTACGGTCTGCAAATTATCACAATTAAGTGAGTATTAAATTAAGTGAGTATTGCTCATTTAGATCGAGTTTGATTGTGTTGAAGAAACGCTGCCACCAATAGAGCTGTTTCGCACTGTGGGACAAATCTAGAAGCTCTGCCTCTGTTGTAGAGGTTGACACAGTCTTCTGCTTTGAGCAGCGCCAGTCTATTGCCCCTCCAAATAAGGTAAACAAATAACCCTCTGTGCTCTTTCTTGTTGATTCGCAGTCTGCGTACGAAGCGTCACTAGAGCATTGAAAGCGAGCCTCTTGAATATTAGGTCCAAACTGAAGAGCTAGGGTCTTAGTATCCTTAAGGTAGAGTAGAAGTCTGTCGACTGCAGCCATGTGGTCTGGGCCTGGATTGATGAAAAATTCAGATAGTTTCTGTGTCGTACGGGCTATATCAGGTCTCGTTACGACTGCTGCGTAGTTTGCTGATCCTACTTTCTGTTGGTAAAGATGGATTTGTTGCTTATCTGCCTGGCCGTCAAATTGGGTTAGGTTGTCTGTAACCATTGGCGTTTGGGTGGATCGAATAGAGGCTACTCCATACGTAGTTGTGATCTTGTCGATATAGGAGTCCTGGCACAGCCATAGGGTTTTCTGGGTGCGGTCCCTCACAATTCTTATGCCTAAGAACCATTGAAGTTCTCCTATTTCTTGAAACTCATATGCTTCCATCAGTCTCGTACGGAACTGTGTTGCCTCCATTTTGTGGCTAGGATGGTTAAGGATGCAAATATCGTCAACATAGAAGAAGACAATAATCTTTGAAGATACAAAGAGGCACTGTGCTTCTGGGACCTGTACGAGGCCTAGAGCCTTGAGTGTCTCTGAGAAGTCTCGAAACCAGAGTAAGGGGGACCTTCGAAGTCCATAGAGTGCCCTGTTAAGTTTCCAGCATTTTCCTTGCTCCTGGTAGCCGTCTGCACACCGTACGTAGACCTCCTCATCAATACGGCTGTTTGTGAATGCGTTTATAGCATCTAATTGTTGTGTATCCAAATCAAAGTAGGCTGTGATTGCCATTAAGGCTCGGAAGGTTTTCGAAGCAAGCGTAGCTGCGTACGTCTCATCATGGATAGAATAGCGTTGTAGGTAGCCATTGTCATTGAATTTGTATGTGAAAACCCACATAAGGGGTATCACAAAGTTCCGTACGGAGCTGTCGTTGACAGATGTGAACGTTCCTTGCTTTCGAAGGTCTCCTATTTCCTTTGCAGCTGCAGCTTGGAATCCTATTCGATGTGGATGAGTTTGGAGTTGATTCCAGAACTTTGGAGCAGCTGGTAGGTCCGTACGGTGTATGCTCTGTCGATTGAACTCCGTTCCTACTAGGAAAGCTTGGTGTAAGCTTAGCTTTGCTTCTGGTATCGCTATTGTAGCTAGGTAGACGTCGTGTCTTCGTACGGTGTCCTCAGGGCGTTCCGGTGTCATTTCAGGCGTTTGAAGTTGTTCCTGTAGCTCCGTGGTCTTTCTGAGTAGGCGGCTCTTCTTGAGGAGAGGAGGTGTTTGTTGCCTCTGATTCGTATGGAATTGTTCCGTTCTGAGGCTGTTGTTCCCCCTCAAACTCCTCATCTTCTTGATCTTGAATATCTGGTATTTCAATGACCTGAACTGTCTTTTCGAGCTCTGTTTGGACAAGCTGAGCCTCGTACGAAGGGTCATAAGCCTTTGTCTCATCAAAGGTAACGTCTCTTGTAACTATAACCCTTTACGAGACCGATTCGCACCTACTCAAAGAGCTAGAATCGGAGAATGGAGACTAGAATGGCAAAAGGCTGCGAAAATGCAAAGAGGCAAGGACCTTGAAGACTGGCTCCTAAACTGGGAGAATCTATACACTCAAGGCCGTACGCTACAGGCAACAGAGGTTATCGACCCTCACGACGCTATCTATACCTTTCTTGATGCAATAGGACCTTGCGAATTCCGAGGACCATGGAAACACAAGCTAGAGAAGCAGACAAAGTCGTACGAATTTGAGGAGGTCCTACGACAGTATAGAACCAACCGTAGGCAAGAGAGATTCACCCAGAAACCTAGGGGGGAACATGGAGTTTTTGCACTACAAGAGGATGACAATAGCGACCTACAGCCAACGCTCCAAGGCCGTACGAACAACCTACAACAAGGTCAGCAAGGTCAGAGAGGCAGAAAACAGAAAAATCAGGCTCGACTAGACTGCCCTTGCGGAACAACACACAAGTGGCGGGACTGCCTCTATGTGATGAAGTCAAAGCGTACGAGGCAATGGCGCCCAAATAAAGAGATTGAAGCTAAAGTAGAGGCCTATATAAGTGACAAACCAGGATTCCAGTACGTTATCCAAAAGGCAGAAGAACAGAACAATTTCAACAACCCGAATGGAGTACAATCCCATACGAATACAGATCCACCTATGTCTTTCACTACAGTCTTCCAAGTCTCCCAAGGACTAAAGCTGAAAACCTCAGCCTATGAGCTCTCTAAAAGCATAATTCTCGACTCTGGAGCTACAATTCACGTCTGCAACGACCGTACGAGGTTCTACAATATCCAAGAATGTCAAGATAATAGCTACCTCTTAGCTGGAGACCAAAGGGTGAAGATTGAAGCGTTTGGGTCTGTAGATATTACAGTCCAAAACGGGGAGGATAAGAAGTCTCTACGGACTATCACCCTTACAGATACAGCTCTCGTTTCATCCTTCCACACTTCAGTCGCTTCTCTTAGACGATTCATCCAAAAGGGAGTTCATTGGAATACCGCTGCACAAGGACTTACGTACGGAGATCAACCGTTCTGCAACACTCCAATGCTTCATGGACAATGGGTTCTTGAATACATAAAAAATGAGCCTACCCGAGCTGTTTATAGCACTCAGGATCAACAGGACAACGTTGTCCTATCTTCGTACGGACCTCGTAAGGACCTAAAAGGCACTGCAAAGGAATGGCATAACCGCATGGGACACCTAAACCAAAACGCCATTAGAAAACTCCAAGAGAAGACCGCCAGAGTTATCGTCACAGACCTAGACTCGTACGATACTCAGTGCGAAGTATGCCGACTTACGCATGCTACAAGGCAGATTTCTAGAAGATCTACACCACGCTCAAAAGTGCCATATGAGAAGGTCCACCTTGACCTAATCCAAATGCCAGAGGCGTACGATGGCAGCACACAAGCCTTACACTTCCTATGTGATAATTGCCGCATGAACCACGTCTATACTATAAAGGATAAAACACAAGGAACGCTCCTACAGACGATTAAGGACTTTGTGAGCTACGTACGGAGAAGATGGGGGTTCCAAATCTGCATATTCCACCTAGATGGTGAAGCCTCACTTGGAAATGAATGGGAGGGTTGGATTAAGGACGAAGGATATGAAATCCACATCTCTCCACCCTATACAGCAGAGCCGAACGGAGGAATAAAGAGGTCATGCCGTACGATAATCACACGATCACGTGCACTTAAAGAATCAGCCAACTTACCAGAAGGAATGTGGCCTGAGATTTTCAAAACAGCAGGGTACCTCATAAACCGCTCACCATCGTCAGTCATAAATGATGAGACCCCGTACGGACTTCTACTCCAGTCCTTACCTACAGAGAGCCAAAAGCCAGAGCTACTTAAGCCATTACTCTCTCATATTCGTGCTTATGGCTGTAGAGCCTATGCCCTTATTCTAAACAAGCCAAAGCTTGAGAGGATACAGAGGAATGCCCAAATAGGCTACCTAGTTGGCTATAACTCTACAAACATATTCCGCATTTTGCTTTCTAAGCATATCGTACGGAGTATCGCAATTGTAGGTATAGGGTAGGAAGTCGCGTTTGATGGTTTCTTGGATCTTAGAGCGAAGCCCCTGAATTGCTTCCTCCTGCTTTTCCCACACCTTGCGCTCATATTGGAAATCAGCTTGTAGGTTTTGAAGCTGTTCCTTCTGATCTTCTGTAAGAGATGCGTACGTAATTGGCGTTAATTGCTGTTGGCCTTCTACTGAAGGTTGGATGGTCTGGCTACCTGAAGCTCTTGTTGACACTCCAGGTCTTGTTTGAGCAGTAACACCACCACCAGCTTGCGTGGCACTCCGTACGAACTCATGAATAGGTCGAACGGGATAGGAGTGTAAGAGGGTCCTCGATTGATGGATCGATATACCCCCATACTCCTGCCTTCATTGAAGCAGTTTTGATAGTCTCTATCCACTCGTCCCAGTCTCTAGGGCTTGTGAGGACCACCCCCGCCTTCTGTAGGGTCGCCATAATGATGGGTTTTTTTTTTTCGACTCCTAGGAGGGGTATTAGGTCCGTACGGGTTTCTATAGGCTTCAAAATGCGTCTTGGAGTTGCTCCGGGCTCATAACTGTTTAGTAATCTGTGTATTGTTCTGTCTAATTGTAGCTGCCTGAAATTATGGTGAAGTTGAGTTGGGTCACGTGACCGTATTACAACATTGTTTGAGTTATCACTCTATAATCACGTGGTTATGTAGCGAAAAGGGTGCCATGTGCCCTAATTGCCAACATACCTCGGGAATTACCCCTGTAGCACTTCCCCCGCACAAATGCAGGGAGTTAAGGTGACTTAACTTCATTCTTGTGGTAGACCAGGATGTCATCCACGACGACTCGATTGATATAATGATGTGCTACCCGTGGCAAGGTAAGCTAAATACAAATCCTCCTACGACCCCAACAAAACCCTGAATCGCCACGATGAACTTTGATATCCCCCCAGATCTCAAAGAATTCCTCTCCTCTCTAGACAGCTTCATAGAGAGAGAAATAGCTCCGCTTCAAGCTCAGGACGACAACGAGCGCTTCTTCGACCATCGTCGAGAGCATAGCCGTACTGACTGGGACAATGGTGGCCTTCCACGCCCAGAATGGGAGGCATTGCTCACTGAAGCCCGGCGCCGGGCTGACAAAGCTGGCTTCTACAGATTATCACTTCCGGTCGAGTACGGCGGGCAGAATAAAGGCAATCTCTGGATGAGCGTCATAAGAGAACATCTGGCAGCGAAAGGTCTAGGTCTCTTCAATGACTTGCAAAATGAGCACTCCGTCGTAGGCAACTTCCCCACTATTGTCATGCTTCTTAGCTTCGGCAATGAGACTCAGAGAAAGGAGTTTATTCCCAGCCAGCTTGGTGGAAAAGTGATCATGACATTCGGCCTGACAGAGCCAGATCATGGTTCTGACGCTACGCATCTCGAGACTGTGGCGAAACCAGAGACCAGAAATGGGGTGAAAGGTTTCGTTCTCAACGGTTGAAAGAAATGGCAAACTGGCATGCATGTCGCAACACATTGCATCCTCTTCGCACGGACCTCTGGGAGTGCTGGCTCAACTAACGGCATTACAGCCTTCATCGTGCCTGCTAAAACCCCAGGCATCAAAGTCGAGAGCTATGAGTGGACGTTCAATATGCCAACAGACCACGCAACCGTCTCACTAACCGATGTATGGGTGCCATCGATGGCAATCTTTGGGCCACCAACATCGGGCCTCAGCGTTGCTCAGGCATTCCTCCACGATAACAGGATCAGACAGGTGGCGAGCAGCCTTGGTGCTGCGACATTCTGTATTCAGGAGTCTATCAAGTACGCCAAGGAGAGGAAGCCGTTTGGAAAGGCGTTGGCGTGGAACCAAGGGGTCCAGTTTCCGCTCGTGGAGCTGCTGACGCAGACGGAGATGCTGAGGTTGCTGATCTGCAAGACGGCGAATGATATGGATAGTATGCCACATAGGGACGTGGAGAAGAAGTTGATCGACAAGGTGAGCATGTGTAACTATTGGGCGAACAGGCTGTGTTGTGAGAGTGCAGACCGTGCCATACAGGTAAGTTCTCCTAGTCTGGAAGATAAGATAGGAGCTGATTGAAAGAAAGGTCCATGGTGGTGTCGGCTACAGCAGGCATAAACCCTTCGAGCATATCTACCGCCACCATAGGCGCTACCGTATCACAGAGGGTTCTGAGGAGGTCCAGATGCGAAAGGTGGCGTTCAAGGTTTTTGGGCTCTCAGAGTTGGCCAAGGGCCAGAAACAGGCCACGAAGCTGTAAGTGTGGAAAATATGCAATATTGTATGTCCCGAATATATATAGAATTATTGTAGGTTACAATGATGTACGATGAAATTAATCGAGGTGAAACGAGTATGGAGGACTCGGATATTTATTGATGTGGGGTAGATGTGACGATGCTGGGGCTAGGGAGATCGCGTACAAGTACTCAAGGACAATATTTCCTAACAATCATTTTAAGCCTTTGATAACGTATTTCACAAGCGAGTAGCCTACACAAGTGAATTGCCCACCAAAACACCAAAACGCATCAACTTGACTACAGACAACATGCCACAACCAACACAAGCGCAATCATCTATTCAAGAGGGTAGACTACTTCTAGCTATCTAGGCACTAAAGGAACATCAATTTAAGAGTGTCCGAGCTGCTGCATTGTCATTTGACATGCCACATAGGACCCTAAGCAACGAATGAATGGAATAACTTCCTAATGCGACTCTACCCCTAAGTTAAAGAACTTGACTTCGTACAAGAGTCAGCTCTTGTTTAGTACATTCTCAACCTAGATTCACGTGGATTTCCACCCTAGCCACAAGCTGTACAAGAAATGGCAGACCTTCTACTCTCTAAACAAGTCGAGAGCCCTATTAGGATCAACTAGACTACAAACTTCATAAAGTGTTATATAGAAATCCAAGCAAAGTTCAGTTAGAAGTACAATTAAAAACGAGCAAAATTCGAAGATCTAAAGATAATTCAAGGGTGGTTCTCTCTTGTATGAAACACAGTTGTAAAATATGGCATCTTACAGCAGAATATCTACAACTTTAATCAGGCAGGTTTCGTAATGAAAGTAATTGCTACTGAAAAGGTAGTTAGAAGCTTAGAAGCAAAGAGCCATCTAAAGACTATATAGCTAGTGGGAGTAGGTGTCAATTATCTAAGATGTTAATTCGTACAGATGGGCACTCCTGCCGTTCATCATTTTTAAGGCATAGAATCACCTCTTATCTTAGTATAAGGACTTGGGATTGCTAGACGATTAGGTAATTACGCTAAGTGGGAATGGGTAGACTTCAAATTCAATTAGGTACAAGTGGATTCAACACTTAATCGACATACAAATAGTCGTTTGATCAGAACCTATCGCCTTCCCATTCTTATGGACATAAGAGCCACCTCTTAGCTCAATTTCAACACTACTATACAAAACAGAAGATAATCACCCTCTGTATGCCACTATACTCGTTACACATTCTTTAGCCACTTGATGTTAGTGTTACGGCTATAGTAACATGATGTCATGGTTACAGGGCCAGGGCCTAGTAACGTGACGTGTGAGTCACATAACGTGACGTGTGAGTCACAGTGGGAAGCGGGGTAGGCTGCCATGTGACAGGGCTAATGGATAGTTGCAGAAACTAGTGGATATTGGATAGTTGAGCTATCCACGAACTATCCTGAATATCTAGCTATCCGCCAACTATCCAGATTATCCATGAGGCACGACGCCACTATATAAGTAGATAGTATTTCCTTAGATAGGAGCTTCGTGCTCAACTCAATACAGTATTTGTTATATACTAGTAACGTGTTACTTGAAGCCTTTGTGTCTGATCCCCTGCCTCCTCTGATAAGTAAACCTTTACGCAAGAGAACCTCTGTGTCTTCTATCATTTAGAAGTCAGCGTTACACTTTGAGCACCACTTCTACGAGGCACTGGCTCATACACAAAGCAACATGTCTGTCGTCAGTTCGAAGGGGAAAACCCCCACCACGCCAACTTCGTCTCAGAGGTCTAAGCCTGAGAATGAGGAGATGCCTGACGCACCCACCGTCAACGAACTCAAGGAAACTCTACGCGTCAAGTTGCCCGACACTTACTCCGGCAACCGAAAGGAACTTGAGGTGTTTTTGCTACAGGTCGAACTGTACCAGCACTTCAATGACAAGAAGTTTCCCACCCAGGAGAGCTATGCCCTGTGGACTGCGTCCTACCTTAGGGGGGAAGCCCTGCGATGGGTCGAACCATTCCTCAAGGATTATTTCAAATATGAAAGTACCAATGGAAGCATGGCAACTACGCAGACTATGTTTGGCAGCTGGAAAGGATTCTGTAAGGAAATCCGACGCATGTTCGGAGACATCGATGAGATCAAGACCGCGGAAGACCATCTGTTTGCACTTAAGCAGACTGGCAGCGCCCTCACGTACTCCACAGAATTCCAGAGATACGGCAATCAGACAGGATGGGACGCCAGCGCACTCATCAGCCACTACCGACGTGGGCTGAAGAGCCATATACGTATGGAACTTGCCCGTTTGGAACAACAACCAACGGACATGGTAGCGCTAATCGAACATACGGTCCGAATCGACAATCGACTATACGAATTCCAGAAGGAACGTCGGACCTATGACAAGCCCAAGAAAAGTTACCCCTACCGGGGAAACGAGGGCAGATGACGGGATCAACACCCGCGAGACAACCGTTGGTTGGACCCAATGGAACTCGATGCCACGTTCAAACCTGGACGACCCCGTGACCCTAAGAAAGACAGACAATTCAAGGAACGACTCTGTTTTAACTGCGACAAGCCCGTACGGTCTTCAAATTGAGCACTTTATTAAGGCTCATATTAATCATATCAGCAAGGTTGAGTTCTTTATCGCGTTCAAGTTGATATACTTCTTCTATAGCTTCTACAGCTTTATATTTATCTTGTTGTGTATAATGTAGCTTACTTAGCCCTATTTTCTTTAAACGAGGGTCTAGTAGTAAAGCTATAAATAAAGGTTTATTCTTCTCTTCATAATGATTAGGAGAGTAGTATTTCCTTAATTTAGCAGTACCTTTCTTAATAGCAATATCTATTTTAAAGCCCTATATTAATATTAGTATAAAGTTAGATATAAAAGGGATATAAGACTTATGTTACTATTTTATCTTCTAACGTAATGTATGGGGTAGTCGGACATACGGGGTAGTCGGACATACGGGGTAGTCGGACATACGGGGTAGTCGGACATACGGGGTAGTCGGACAAAAATGCCCGACTACCAACTCAGAACCTTCATACCTTCCACCATGAACATCCCACAACCATACAGTCGTGCTCAGATTGAAGACAACATCCAAAAGGCTGTCATTGCGCTCCGATTGAAGGAATTCAAATCAATTAGACTTGCTGCAGACTACTTTAGAGTTCCTAAGTCAACTCTTGCTGATAGGATGTCCAGGAAGAAAACGTGTGCTGTAGATCACAAAATTGAACAAGCTCTCTCAAATGCAGAAGAAAATACACTAGCATGATGAATTACACGTCTCACTGCCACGGGTTTTCCTGCAACTCCTATGTTGATCAAGGAAATGGCTGAAGAAATTCGCGTACGACACGTCCAAATCGCGTCTTCTCAAACAACTCTTCAGACCAATCCTACCCCCATAGGCCATGAATGGATCTATAGATTCTTAAAACGACTTCAAAACTTTAAAGGGGTCTACTCAAGACAACTAGAGTCTGCACGACATAAAGAAGCCACTCCTATAAAGATTTCAGCTTGGTTTGACGCGTTTAAAGCACGAATTGAAGAGTGAAAGTACAAGCCATGCAACATCTATAATATGGATGAGACAGGTTTTGCGTTGATTCTACCTTGAAATCCAATTGGAAGGTCACAGCTGGGAAGCAGGAGTGGATAACTGTACTTGAATGCATTGATGCAGACGGTGGTGCTTTACCACCTATGATTATATTCAAGGCTAAGAATACCAATTCAAGTTGGATTCCAAAGGACACCCCTACAAACTGGCACTTCTCAACAAGTAATAGTGGCTGGACTTCAAACAGTCATGGATTTCAGTGGTTGCGGAAGGTATTTGAGCCTGAGTCACGCAAAAAGTCTGGAAATCACCCGCGAATGTTGATTATGGATGGCCATTCTAGTCACATTACTGGCGATATGATTGCACTGTGCATTGAGAATGACATCGACCTTCTTATTCTACCACCTCATTGCTCTCATCTACTCCAACCACTTGATGTTGGGGTGTATGGACCTCTTAAGCGATTTCATGCTCAGGAAGTAGATCGGTATACTCGAGCAGGAATAAAGCGAATCCAGCACTCCCACTGTGTTGAAATCTTCTGGTGTATTCGAGAGAAGGGTCTTATACCTCAAAGTGGGTGGAGGGCAGCGGGTTTAATACCCTTTCTCCCAGAAAGAGTTCTGGCTAACCTTCCACTTCCACAACTGAACCACCTCGCATTCCTCAAAACTCAACCAATATCACTACTCTGGATCTCTCAATACTCCAAAGTTCTCCAGATGGAACTGAACTAAGGCATGCAAATTTAGTATTTAATTCAAGTATGGCAACTTGTGACTCTCCTGCTTCACCAACTTGATGCTATGCCAAGAGAATGACTAGGCTGGTTGAAAGTCAGAATGCTGAACTCAGCATCCTTCAGAAGGAGGTGAAAGAGTACAAAGAGATACTTGAGACACGAAAGAAAAGAACTACGGGCAGGAGAATTAAGTTGCAAGGCGAATTTGTATTCAGTACCGAGGAAGTGTTGAAAATTGTCCGGGAGGCAGAGTTGAAGTCAACTGAGAAAAGACCACGTGGAAGGCCATGCAAGCGGCCAATTGAAGAAGTAGACGAGGAAGTTGAAGAGGAAGAGGTAGAGAACGATTCAAGCGACCCAGAATTGGAATTGGAGGAGTGTGTGGCATGTAGGACTCGGTCAACTAGAGTAGAATAAACTTTTTGTCCGACTACCCCATATGTCCGACTACCCCATACGTTACGTTATCTATAAATGTTAGTATTATTATATAACTAAATAAGGATAATGTACATGTATAGCGAAAGCGCCAAACAAGCGAAAGCGCCAAAATTATCTACCCTCACGACAAACATTGCGATAAATCTACCACAACATTAGAAATCAATTGAAACTACTCAGAGTCCTCTTCCTCAGAGGTGTCTATTACAATCTGACACGTGCGCGCATTGTGCCCAGTCTCACCA